AAGAATAACAAACATATCAATACATGATTCTTACAAACACCAAAAGCATACAACCTAATCGTAAACCGAAGATAATTGTACCAAAACATTGCATTTCTCATTTAAATATCTGATCTTATCTTCAACAACTTCCATCACCACAATTATTGCTATTAACAAGCTGAATAACCAAATGTTAACAAAAAAAACCCTAATACTATTAAGAACCATAAAACCATGGATTCAACCAATCAATCGACAAACATGTAAACCAATAGCATAAGATTATATAAACGCTATCATATACAGATATCAAGTATCTAAGAGCGTACCATTTCTTGAAGCTAGGTGAAATCGAATGTGACGGGATTCTTGAGATCAGAAGCGAAAACAGAAACCTTAGATTTAGTATGAGCCTATACACGTTTATATGGAGTTATGGACCACAATCGCTGGCCTCGTTACAAAATTTGGGCTCAAAACAACCTAAATACTATTCTTAAGTCTCAGCCCATATTACAAGGCCCAGTTTTATGACAAATCATTTTTCAAATTTTTCTTAAGAACTAAAACCTCCAATTAAAAAGTTAACAGCTTTTTCTATTTTAAATATTAGGGGTGTTTGGGATTTGCTTATTTTAGGTGTTTTTTGACTTATTTCAATTTGGCATCGATGATAAGCTAAATACTAGTGTTTGGATGAGGAAAAATAAAACAGTTTATACCGGTGTCAAACCGGTAATAAGCAGTTTTTGATAAGTTAATCCTTCATGACTTATGAAAAACTGTTTATTACCAGTTTACCATTTTAACCCTATTTTATTAATTTTTTTTTAATATTAATCATATTAATATAAATTATTAATCTTATTGATATAAAGTTTTGTCAAAGATATTATTATAAATGATGAAAAATAAATTTTTACATGTTAAAGAATCAAATAAGTTAATAAGAAATCCCAAACATTCTCATAAGTCAATAATATGGAAGACTATCTTTTTTGGTCATTTTACATATATAAACAAAAAATTTCAAACACTAAAAAACAACTTATCAGCTTATTACTTTTTAGTACCGCTATAAGTTAATCCAAACACTTTTTACATAACCAGGTTTGATACCATATAAGTTAATAAGTACATTTACAGAAAAACATAAGTTGTTTTAAATAAGCGATCTCAAACACCCCCTTAGACATTAAGAATTAGGTTTCGGTAGGAAAAAAGAATGATGAGAAACGTAAAAAGAGATTTTTACCATTTATTCGATCATAATGAAATGTCAATACTAATGAGGTGCATCGAGATGTACCAGATCATTTTCTTATAAAACGCAATTCATGGATAGGCATGAGATTAAAATTGATCAAGGGTTCAAAAATCTTCTTATGCTTCACCATGACTTCCCTTCTTAGACTATCCTTCGCCAAACAATAATTATATTATTAAAGTATGGCGTAGGATCATGAAAGAATAGAAGTTAAAGTGCGAAACGTAATAAAAGGATCTAAACCTCTGATCACTTTTAATCTCACCCCCATCCCCTGAATTGCGTTTATCATAGAAATTGATACGGTTGCATTTTGGTGCACCTATCAATTAGGATTGATCCAATGGTGGAGATCCATTCTTATCGTTCTCACCGGAACCCAACCCTAAAAGTATTTCATATATTTAATAAAATATTATCTTCTTTGTTAAACATTTAATTTCGGGGTTTATTATCGACAAAAATATAATAAATATTATTCATCTTTTATGATGATCATTTTTAAGGAGTTCTTCAAATTTGGAAAATTTCGTCATGACACCTACTTTTTCAATTTGGAGAAAGTTTTATTTACCCAAAAGAGATTCATTTTAGATAATATGTTTAATATGCTCTAATTTATACATTGCAAATGGGATCTTAAGCAAAGTCTTAATGGTATAAAATATACATGTGCTTGAATCATTTGTTTTGCTTTGATGAAATGTTGGATATCTTCTATCTAAATTGTGACCTACAAATGGTTATTCAGATGAGCTTAACAAAACAGATATTTGATCTTTGATTACATATCAGTATAGTTGTTAATACACACATACAAGGCCAGCATCCCCTTAGCGCTAGCACTCGTCTACTAAACTAAGCAAAAAAAAAACTATGCATCAATAAGCAGCCTGCTCTCTCTCTCTCTCTCTCTCTCTCTAAGGACATGTAAAAATGCAAGCAAAATGTGTCAATTGGGTTCCTCAAAAACAGTTTAGTTTGATAGATGATAGATGGTAGAATGGTTATCACAATTGCTCCTGTTGGGAAGTTGTTTATGCACAGCCTTCACCGCGCCAACTCTGGCAGCATTGGACGATCTGTTGGCGGCTGCCACCGCCTTGTTCACCCTCTCGTCCACTTTGGCTAAATC